GTGATGTACGTAGTACTTAATATGTAACTTAAATTCACTGTAATATGTATAAGACCTTAATAAAAGACGCCATTAGCGTTCTGACTGCTTAGGCAGTTTGGAAAAATTAAAAAAAAAAAATATTAGTTATAGTACTATATTTAACTCTTTCTGATGATCATTTGAACCAAATTTCCTAATGAAAAGAAAAGCCCTTTCAATACTGGAGAGTAGCAATAACCTGCAGTGAGGTGACATCAACAGGGCAGTTTTTATAAAGGTCAACCTTTTCTACCTGTCGGAAACTCCTTTATATATTCGATATGCAAGCCAGAAGCATTAGTGTACAAGATAACTGGCAGATGATGGTGCCCGCTAGTAATCAGGGCAACTTGCTTGCGTAATGATAATTTTTTTTTTTTTTGCTAATGGAAATATCACCTGAAAGGTATCTGTAAAACTAGACATGGGAAAATTGAAAAATTTGTGAAACAAATATGTCTAGATATATTCTATTGGTCATGTGAATTTTAGCTTATTTGGTTCTTTATATACTTTTTTATTATTATAACGATTATTTCTTTTTATATCGAGGTACGAATCTTTAATTTTATTGAAGATAATGCAATATTACTAGATCTTTGAATACTTTAAAATTCTGTTGAAGATAATGCGACATTACTAGATCTTCAAGTTCTTGAAGGTAATGCAATATTACTAAATCTTTAGATATTTTAAAATTCTGTTGAAGGTAATGTGACATTATTAGATCTTTGGGTTCTTTAAAATTCTATTGAAGATAACACAACATTACTAAATCTTTGAGTACTTTAAAATTCTGTTAAATATAACACAACATTACTAGATCTTTGAGTTCATAATACAACATTACTAGATCTTTGAGTTCTTTAAAATCCTATTAAAGGTAATGTGACATTACTAGATCTTTGAGTTTTTTAAAATTCTATTGAAGAGAAAAAAAACTCTCTCCGGTTCATCACTGGATATTAAGAAATAAACAAAATAACAACAAAAAAAGTAGTTTCTGCTCCCCAAAACATAAGACAAAGGGCCCTAGCCCTTATACTAAAGAAAATAAAGCTTCTTGAAATAAATATGGGCAAAGCCACAAAGAAAACCAAGACTCTAGATACTAGACTCGCAGAAAAAACCTTTGAATTTTCCTTTAAACTTGATAAGACAAAAAAGAAAATCCTCTCAAATGCCAACACTGTTAGAGTCTGTAATACTAACAGCAGCAATATAAACTGGGCAGATTCAGTAGAAGCCAATATAGCAACAGAAGAATTATCACCAAAACTAACAGTAATACTCCTCAAAGTGAGGAAAACAAAGATACAGACAAAACTCTGAACATGAAGGCCAATAATAAAACATGTCTAAATGAAACAACAGATGTAAACAAACAAGCAGAAACAAACCACGTGTTTCCACGTGACAAAGCACTAACCAGTGACGAAACAGGCTTAGCACAAATACTCAACCCTCCTCAAGGCATCTTACAAACAAATAATAGCACTAGTACAGCTCTAGATATAGAACAAAATAAATTTACAGGAACCAATACCAGAATCAAACAATGGTCTGAGCTTTTCCCAAAATTAAAAGAAGGTAAAGCTACCTTTGTAAACAGTGGCTCTAGATATAAGCTACACTCAAAAAATAAAAATGCGTTTATCTTTGACATTCAAGCACTTGAAAATATTACAACCAATGAAATCATTTTTGCAATCTACACCAAATTCGGGTCTGAAATTCTAGCTGCAAAATTCCATCTATCAAGAGGAAAGCACACTCAGCTAGAAATTGTCTTTAAAAACAAGGAAGTACAACAAAAATATGCTGCAACAGAAATCAACATATTTAAACAAGCATTACTAGGATACGTACCCATTAATCTTAAATGCACCTTTCTGTCTGTCAAAATCACTAACGCACCCATGAGAGATAGAATCTCCACTAATCTACAAATTAAGGAAGCTTTTCAAAACATTGGCACAATTGCTTCCATCAAACCTCTACTTTTTGAAGACACAACAATAGCCTCAGACCAATGGATTATTACATTCGAAACAACTAATGATACAGATGTCGCTTCAAGAATTTCCAGATATACACACGTGGGGGACTACAAAGTAGCAACAAGCTGGAAAGAAGCACCCAAAGTTTGCTACTTTCGTGAAAAGGAGAGCCACATTAAAAATGACTGAAGAGCTTAAACTCTCTATAGAATTCAGACAAAAACAAAAAGAATACAAACTTCTTAGAGAAAAAAGCTTGGCAGCACCAAGTACTGATGAGCCTAACTCACAAATTAACCTTAGCCCATATAATTCATACAACGCAAATATAATTGTAGACTCCCTAGAACCATCTACAAGCAACAAAGTAGAAGAGACAAATACTGCTGATCAAAAATCGAAGCCTCAAGAAATGACTCCGAACAAAACCAGCTTAATTAATGAAGCAAACTCCTCAAAAATGCACTCAGAAAGAAGCACAGAAAATGACAATACAAACCTCATACTAATAACATCCCCGGTTTACAAAACTCTAAAAGCGAACACTTTAAAAGGAGCTGAAGAAGAATTCATATTAGTTACTTCTAAGAAGAAAAATGCTAAGAACAAAGGAAAAAGGAAAACTACTCTAGACAACAACACTTCAGATGTAATAGATGCTGGGAACTCATATGTTCCCAACCTCTAAATTTCAATATGACAAACAACAATGTGTGGCTAACCATCTCTTCTGCCATTATCTTATGATCAAAATCGCCATACTCAACATTAAGGGTCTAAACAACAAATCAAAGGCCCAAAAATCACTAACGCTCCTAAAATCATACCACCTAGATGTAATTCTTTTTCAAGAAACAAATCTAAATAACAATTATCTAAGAAAATTCTTGGCACAACAATGGGGTTATAACTCTGTCTGGACAACAAAAACAGCTATCCTTGCAGGAAAATCAAACATCAAACTCGAAGAAATTGAAATCTCACATAATAACAGAGTTATCTCAGCTAAATTCGATTTTAAGCACACCTCCTACCTAATTACCAATGTCTATGCTCCCCCTACATCAGCAAATTTAATAGGGCGTAATATTGCGCAATAATTTACGAAGCATAAGAAAACCATAATATTACGTAATA